TTCCCACACCTGTTTTACAATTCTCTGTTTCATATTTGTCTCTTCATTTGCAGGAATAAATACAGTAACAGCAAAAAGAATCTCTGGTATGCCACTACTGTGATATTCCCAACTTGAGAGCCAGTGGCGAGCTGTTGGCTCTCCTGATTAGGAGCTGGCAGTGATCAGACCATTTACTGGACCTTAAGACATCATGGATTGGCTCATTCTTAAGCTGCCATCTCTGAAAGGTGCTGAGAATACCTGAAAGCTGTTGCTCATCTCTAACCCAATAATTAAATAGCTATAACAAAGTCTGGAGGTCCCTCCTGATTTTCCAAATACTTGTGTGTTTCATCAGTCCACTGCAAAGAACAAGGAAGCAGAGCAGGGAGTTGAATGTCTAATTAAATGGGTGGAAGGCATCCACTCAGCTCTGCAGAGACTTCCTGGGAGAGAAAAGCAAGGAAAGAGGTGCTCAGTGCCTTCACATGCCGGGTTTTATCTTTGCTTTGTTTGTAACCTCAAAAACATGGAAGGACTTCTTGCTGTGTAGATCTGTAAATCTGATAATGTTTTATTTCATAACAAAAATGGAGACATGGTAGAGATAAACCTGAGGAGTGACTTCATGCTAAGCACAAAGTGTTACTTTAAATGTCAACCTCTTGGGGAAGGTTCCCATGCCAACTGTTTTCTTTGGAGGTTATGCTATGAAAGTGGGTGAACACACACCCAACTCATAACTCACTCAAACTTCCACCTGCATAAAACAGAGCAAAAAAGCTTATGAAAACACAACAGCAAGAAGAGCACACAGCTGGGAAACAGCAAGAAGGACATTTTATTTAAAATTTAGTGAAACCCAAAATGTCACAAGAGTTGCTGCTCTTCTACGCAGCACACCACACCTAGGAGATTAAACAGCAATACTGTAATTTGTACCTATTTATTCAAGGCAGGGATCTGACCTTTCCAGGCTCATTTGTTTCAGCAAACTTTGCTCATGCTACTCATGACTGCTCATATTCATAAGGCTTGCAAGATTAGAACATCAAATAATTGCTGATAATATGAAGACAGTGTGACAGAAGGAACAATAGTGTTTCTTATTATGTGATTATATTTCTTTTTTTTTCTTTAAAGCTCTGAGAAACCACTTCAATTACTTTGATCATTTTCCCGTCAAAGGGAAATTTTTTTTAATTGGCCGCTGCACTTCTACAGATATGAAGCTTTTTTGTGATCTCTGCAAATCTCAACAAATACATCAAACCATGTACTGTAGTTCTACTAAATAATATTATTGTAATTGTTTTGTTCAGGGTTTGTCAAAGTCCACCCAATCATTTTCTCAGTCGTATGGAAAAAATGCCACCCTGCAGGTTGAGCAACAGATCTAGACTGCTTCAGGGGGTGGGTGGCTTCAGTCTTGTCCCTTGACCCCAAAATGACACCGTGACCTGACCTATAAAATGAGGATAATTAAATCTATTCATTTTTATAAACACTAGTGCAAGACATGGTTGAATAGCACAATGTAAATTTAAAATCTTAGTTAAACTGAGGCAGAGTGCCAAGTAATCACAATGCACACACACTAGTTGAAACCAACTCATTAATAGTCCTACTGCTGGAACCAGTTTCCTAATGGCTCAGTAATGAGCTGACTACAATCACAAAACCATGCTTCTTGATAATTTTTTTAAAATATGTAATTATAATGTGATAATGTCTTGAACTTGTGTGTGCACAGGTAACAAAAAAGATACCTCCAAACACTTAACGGCCCAGGACTTAAAATCTCTTATTTTTTATTCACAATTTGTATTAGTAAAACTCTGTTACAAAAAGAAAGGCGAATACTCTAGCTTTTTTGTTGGTAGCTGACAGTGTTGGGGTACTTTATTATGTTTGATCTCTGTTACTGCCTGATCCTTCAGCCAGAAATAGTGTGCAACCAACTCATTTCTCTGGGTTCCTTCCCTTGCATGCTATGGTCAACCAGAACTAGCAGACAGTTTCCTTTCCTATGAGACAAGATGCATCTGCAGATGAGGCATCACGCTTAACCAAGCACATCTCTTCATATGCAATGAAGACATTTTATATGTTTGAGTGGGGCATGCTGTTCTTTCATCCCTGCCTGGTTTTTCAGTAGAAAATCAGCCAACAGCCTCACTACCAACAAATGTTGGATATTGAACTCCCTCCTTCCTTCCAGCACACTATTAACCTAGGTTATCTACCCAGGGAACACATTTTTAAGCCCCATGGTAGATTTATATTTGGAATTTGCAAAAGTACAGTCCTTGCCTAATCCATTACACCATGGGCATGGATCTGCAATGGAGAGGTGCTGACATCCATGGCATACAAGTTAGGAGATGGCATCCAGTAAGGTCTATCTCTGGCCTTGGCTGCTCCACTTCAGAATCTTTAGGATCAAATATAACAGCACACCTCACAAGCTTTCCTGTTGTGTTCCCCATTCAGGCCTGAGCAAACAGTTCAGCTGGAGTTTGTTGCCAGCCATATGCCTACAGACTTCACCAGACACATACCAGACACAGACCCCACAGCTCTGCCTTCCTGTTCCTCTGTTGCCTACCAACAACAGGAACATAGAACTTCAAGGCAGAGGAATTCAGGAGACACTAATAACATTTTAAATTAAGTTCTGTACTGGGAGAGAAGGACTTCTTTTAGGGCTCTTTCCTAGGTCTACATCGAATCCAACACAGTAAAACTCCAACTCTGGCTGTAGTTTCCCACAGCTACTACAGCAGAAGCAACCACAATCCTCACAAAAGAATACAAAATGTATGTATTTTGACCTTCCTTAATTATTTTCTGCATCTCTAATCACAGTGCATTCACAGACAAATGTAAAAACCTATAATCTAAATGAAGGAACCACTCCTCCACAGGGAAAGACAGAATGTTATAATTTTTCCATTTTAAAATTGTTAAGAAGGTAATTACATGCTATTTCCAGTGAAAGCATGTTATTTATTTCTCAGAATGATTCAATAATACTTAAGAAGTCTTTTCTGAATATACCAACAGATCATTTTTGAGCCTGTTTATAAATGAAATATTAAATGAGAACAAAAATAGTCACAATGCCAACACCTCTGCAAGCAAAACTTTCCCTCAGCTTCAACATTGGTTAGCAAAGTAACAGGCATGCTGCTCATTTGTTTTCTGTTGTCTGCAGAGATGTCAGCCTGATGTTATTTCAGTTACTACACCTGCCAGTGAGGCTCTTCTCCCTGTAGCTGGGGCTTGACAAGGAAGGTGGCTCTTTCTGTTGGCTCAGCAAAACATTTGACTGACCCAAGTCCTGTGCTATCCTAAGTCTTCCAGTGTTTGAAAAGAAGAGTTGTTAATCCCTGGGATGCCTTTTGTTTTCAGTTACTAGAAGGCAAAATATTCTTTGGTGCCTCGTGCTGTGAAGTTTATGGGTGATTACCTCTATTGCAAAAAAAATACTCAAGCAGCAGCTCTTTCTGCTGCCAAGAGAAGCTCCAGGCCTTGCATTTGGAGCAGAGCATTGCATGTATAGAAAGCACCGTATACAGCTGGGCCTTAGGGCAAGGGATGAATAGTAGCTATAAGAAAATATCCTTATCTCAAAGACCAAAAGGATGTCAACAGTTGCAAGTGTCATCTCTTAGAACCAGGCAGGTAAACACTAAATAGTAAACACTCTTTGCAAACACTGAGCTCAGAGAGTTGCAGCCTCCCAGATGGAAATCAAGATCCCAGAGTAGAACTCCTGTGTGTCTGTATAGTATTATTTCCAAAGAACATGATTGATCCATGCATTCTGTGTTTCCCATATCCTGACAGAACCCATGGTATGCTCCCTATCATGGGTATCAGACACCACCCTCAGTTTTTCACTTGGATTCTCCCACATTGATGCTTTCACCCATTCAGATCCAAAACAGAGAAAATGGATGTTACTTTTAAGGAGGTCAGGAATGCCGAGTCCCTGTGATCAGCAAACCCCTCTGAGCCCATGCAGCATTGCTCTGATAGATCACATTGATGCACAAATGAAGGAGGAAGCTGAGGTAGTATTTTGTCTATGGAACTTTTCTAAACTCGCGAAGCATTCAATAAGGTATTTAGTATTCCTGTGCTGCTGAAAGCAGTTCTGTTTCTAAACCCAAAGTACCTGTGACTTTCCTCTCTCCCTTGGCCATCTGGCATTTCCTTGTCTAACAAACTTGAAAGTCACTGTTCCTCCCCAGGGATCCTTACATATGTTCATGGAGAGGTCTCAAAGAAGGGGGTGAACATCAGAAAACCCATCTTTCCCCAGCTATCCTCATTGGTACAGTTACCTATAAAGCCATGATTACCACACATTTATTCTCTGCAGGTGCCATGTGAGAAGTTCAGCTCACTCAAATCAGTAGCTGGGATGAAGGGTGCAATACAAATATTGCTTAACATAAACCCGGATCCTTAGGATTAGTGTCGTGGCTCCCCAAGATGCCGCCGGCACAGGACTGGGTGCAGCTCTGTGTCGGACTTGTGCAGCCTCCCCGTCGTGCCAACAGCACGGGCAGGGTGCCCTAAGGGATCATCTCTTCACCAGGACCCCTCTACCGAGACGCTCCCCAGCCCAACGAAGCGCCACAAGCCAATCAATCTCCTGCACGCCGAAGCATCTCGGTCAGCTGCAGCAACGCCGGCTCCCCGTCCCTCCTCTCCTCAGCCCTGCCCCTACCCCGCATCTTCCTCCACCTCGGTGCCCGGCCCCGGGGCAAGAAGGCGCCCCCGAGCCCGCGGCGTCCACGGGGTCGGGCCGGGCCTGCGCAGGCCCTAGGGGGGCGCGGCCCCGCTGAGGGAGGGCACGGGCGGCGGCGCAGGAGGAGGCGGGGGCCGGCGGGTCCCGGCGCCCCTGGGGCGGGCAGGGGGCGGGAGCGGCGGCGCCCCCCGGCCGCCGAGGGGCCGCGCCGGGCGCTGGGGCGGGGTCTGCGGGCGCCGGCAGGGCGGGCGGCGGCGGGCGCCACGTCGGCAGTGGGGACGGGCGGAGGAGTAAAGTCTGAGCCGAGCCCGGGCGGGCCGAGCGAGCTGTGAGTGCCGTGCGGTGAGTGAGAGAGGGAGGGAGGGAGGGAGGGAGGGATGAATGAATGGATGGATGGATGGATGGATGGATGGATGGATGGATGGATGGATGGGTGGGTGGATGGATGGATGGATGGATGGATGGATGAGCGGCCGCTACCCCCGGCCCCGCCGCCAGCCGGGCAACCCTGGAGCGCCCTCCCTGCCTCCCCGTGGATGAAGGGGAACTTCCAGGGGAGGAGGCGGGAGAGCACCCGGCGCGCCCCGGCGGAGCCGCTGGCGGGAGAGGCGGGTCAGGGATGCGGAGCCGCCGCCACCTGCCCCCGGCGCGGGCACAGCCCGGCCGCCTTTGTGCTTCCTGCCGCGGCTCCGCGGGGCGGGAGGGCCGGGCCGGGAGTAGCGGCTCCGCCGCGGCCTTGGCTGCCACGTCAGTGCCGCCGCCCTGCGCCGAGATGCCGGCAGTGCCCGCGCCGGCCCGGCCGGGGTTATGGGCGGGGGTCGCTGCCGGGCCGCCTCCGCAGCTCCGCCGGGCACGCAGGTAGCTGCGAGGGGAGGAAGCGGCGGGGACTGCGGGGCCTCGGCCGCCAGAGGGTAAGGGGGGGGCGGCTCCTGGGTGCGGGACCGAGGGCAGGGGGGCTGCTCTGCCCTGCCGCTGCCACCCTCTCTGGGCCGGGCGCCCGTGGAGGAGCGGTCCCCCCACCTGGGAGGGAGGGCAGCGGAAGGAGCCGTACTCGCCTCGGCCTGGCTCCTGGATGGTCTTGTTCTCCCTCGAGAATTTTTCCGACCCAGTGGAAGCTTTCTTTCGCGTTTTCTTCTTTTTAAACTTTGCAGTGTTCAGGTGTTTGCTGTAGTAACGTGCTCTTTGTTTCATCCATGTATCTCGAGTCCAGCTTGATGGAGTAGCATATGAAGAGGTTTTTTGTGAACTGTTTGGGACTACTGGCTTAGCTTTCCACATTAACCTAGCCTAGTCGTTTATGTGGTGTGGCCTGAAGATCAAGGCAAGTTGATTTAGCCGTATGCCTGGTTCTGGGCATTGTATGAACTGCAGATACTGCCTCTGGATGCAATTAAATGCTTCCTTCTGTTCATTGAATTCAGGTGAAAATGAGAACTCTGAATCTGGATGTCCCTCCATAAGGAATGTAAATATCAAGTACATGTAGCATGTTTCAGTGTTTCCACTGTGTTGCTTCAGGCAGGATGCCTCTGTATAACTGGAGGGGTACATACAAGATTGCTTAATTTAATATGTAGGTACTGGTTTGTATGCACATCAGTTTTAAGACTGCTCAGTAAATATTATCCAGCATATCATGTAAAGCTTTCTGTTAAACTGTGGCTAAATATTCAGAGAAGTTAGTATTGCTTCCTCTGTGTAGAAACGGGCAGCGCTGCACAAGTGCAAACTGAAAAGTGGTCCTTGTCCAGCAAGTGACCAGGTCTAAATGTCAGGTAGGAGCCAACAGAGAGGTGGTGGATGCTAGGGAAAAGACTATTTTATTAGCAGAGGTAGCAAGGAAGTTCAGAAGCTGCTTTACCACTGGCTGTTAGGCACAGTCCAGTTTTGTCTTTGAGGGTCTTCTGCAAAAGGAGATCCAAGACTGATCTGGAGCTCAGGCTTTAGGAAAGTGTTAAAAGAAATGGGGAGGGCTCTTCTGAAAACTGAGCTAGGAGGAGGCAGAGGATGACAGAACTAGTAAAATGGAGTTTTCATGGTCTTTCTGAAGCTGTGCCTTGCACCTTACTGGAATTTACCATGTACTTCTTAGGAACCAGTTTTGGAGAACTAGGAAAGGGCAATTCTGGTTCATGCCACCCTTGATTTTGTATCTTGTAAATCATTGCATCAGAGAAAACTTGATTGCCAACATCAGGTGTTCTGTAGGACCTCTTCTGGACCGTGATCTATATTTTGGTTGACAGTGATGGAGAAGTGGTGCATTCTCCATCTAGGGTAGATACACTATAGTAATGTCCTGGGCAGAGTTAAGGGTTTTTTTTTTTTTTCAGGCGATATTATACCGCTCTCTTGCTTTTAATTGTGGTGTGTTTGGTTTTTAATACCCATATGTTGCATTACCTTCCCAGCTGTGTTCAGTTCCCTGCATACTGTGAGCCTGTTATGTACATTACTTACAGCAACTTCTTTTGGAGGAAGCTGTAGCCCATCCTGCTGTAGGCTTGGAAGTAAGTTGTGGCTCATACCTGGAAGCTTCTGATCAACTTCTTGTGGTCTCTACTTGAAAATGCAGTCTCTTTTTCATAGCACACTTGCTTTCAAGCTCATCTTGCTTTGTAAAGAAATCTGAATTTTGAAACTTGAGTTTTAAACTGAAGGCTTCTTGAAATACTAGCTGTGCTCTTGCTTTTTACCTACATGTTTTCTACATGCCTGGAGTTGTTTTTGTACTTTAGTGCTGTTAGCACTGACGATTCTTGCTAAGCTCAGTCAACTCTTTCCCTTGCAGTAATAGACTGAAACAGACATTTCCATCCTAGGAGTAAGGCAGTGAAGCTGATAGTGAGGGGTTGCTTGTGCAGCTTGGAGCTGTACCCTGAAGAGCAGCCATAGGTGGGATTACCTTTTTTGGCTTCAGGATTATTTCCTGAAGCCAAAAAATGTTTCCAAACATTTAATTCTTAAACTGTCATACCTAAAAATATACTTTTTTCCGTCTACGTGAAGTACATCAGGTTCATTCAGAAATCTGCTACAGCTGCTGAAAGAGGTAAAGAAGAGTTGTTCATGTGGCAAGGGTTGTTTGTTTTCCATCAGCTCTGTAGCCAGGCTTTCTACCTGCCCAGCTGGTAGCCAGAAGGAAGAGAACTTCTTTTGTGGTGGAGCAAGACGGGGCAATGGGTTTGTTTGCAGCTCTGTCAGGTGGAAGTTCCAGCACTGGCTGCTGCTGCAGCGGCCGTCTGGAGCAGCATTAAGCTGCCAGCTGAAATTGGTCCCATCCTTGGGTTGTTTCATTGCTACCCACAAATATCTGAGTAGTGGCGTTGAAACAAGCCAGTTTTCACTGGCTGCTGCTTGGGCCAGGTTTGCTGTGCTGAGACAGAAGGGCTTTTTGTCTCTAAAGTCAGACACCAAGAGCATTGGCTGAAACTTTGGAAGTTACACACATCTGTAATGATTAGAGCCCACTTCTCAATGGAAGGCTAAAACTTCACACAAATTACTGTCCAAGAACTGCAGGCTCATTAAGGAGCATTTGTGTCTTAACATGGATTATTGTGCCTCATGGCAGCACATGGAGCAAGTAAAATTATCTTCATTGCCCAGGAAGAATTGGTGTCTTGGTGACAAATCTCTAAAAATGTGGCATCTTAAGGCTGTACCAAGTGTGCTTCTTCCATACAGTGGGGATTTGTATTCCTGATGCCTACTGTACACTCATGTCAGGTATGTGACAGTCACTGGTCCATAAGATGTCATTAATATTCTTCCTTTCTTATAGGTGTATGCAGAATACTTTCGTGGAAACAACTGACTAGTAATCTTCACAAAGAAATATATTTGGTGAGTAAGTTTTATTTCAATCAGCTTTGATGTGAATGTACTTGTGGCTATGCCATTACTTCTAGAGCTTCTTGGTGCTTTCATTCAGGATCTTAAACACTGTTAATGTTACAAATAGCTCTTGAATTAAAAACCTTCTTTTAAACAATTTCTTTTTTTTTTTTTTTAGCCACAGTGTAAAACATTTAAGCTTTCTATGTATTTCATATCCTGACAGTATGGAAGTGTGTTTCCTTTCATACCAGTTGAGTGACTTTGATCTTTACTTTTTAATTTTTTTGTATGAAGGCTACAGTTTATTTTAATATATTGTTAAGAAAGATGAGAAGTTATCCCATATCTCTTGAACGAATAGACAATAGACAAATCTTCATAGGCACACAGGGAAAAAAACCCAAGAAGTAGTTGAAGTAGTTTACATTTATCCCTGTTCTAAGATCTGGGTTTGCTTCCACTTCTTGGCATGACAAAACACAGATGAAGAAGGAAACTGGAGTGTGCCAATGATAGGATAAATTTTGGCTTCATGAATGTCCATATGAGTTTTTTTGGGCCTCATGGAGACCCTGCCTCATTCCGTGTCATCATTCAGTGAACATGTTAAATGAAGCTGGAGGCTTTTCTGCAGTGACACAAGTGAATTTGGCATCACAGGATGAAAATGCAGAAGAAAGATCTCTTTGCTTGCTTTCTTCTTCCCTTTTTCTTTGGCCAGTCTTAGTGTACTTTGAAGAAGATTCTGAAAGCTTCTGAGAAGAGTTCCAAAGTTCAGGTTTCTGATAAATCTTTGCCTTGTTGCGTACATCTGCGGTACTGGTAATCGTTGTAAGTTATGATTCAGTGCATAGTGGGGACTTTGAATGGGCAGCTTCCAAGTTTCCAAAGTTCCTTAACCTGTAGCATGTCTGAATGGCTGACCTCTGCACAAAAGTCTTACACTTGCATCTCTAGGTCGCTGTCTTTGGTTTCAGCTGAGTTATAATCTCTGTTGGGTCTCATGAACTTTGCTTTCTCTTCTTTGTGGGGATGCATCTTCAGGGGAAAGCTTGAACAGGACCTTCCCTTAGGATACACTGCAGTCTGGTCACTGGGGGACTTTTTGATGCAAAGCAGGACATACAAGCCTAGATCTTAATAGACAAAAGAGGCATTGAGTGCTTTTACCTCCACAGTATTACGTAAAATCTATCTCCAGTTTTTGAGGAAAAAAGTTGTTCTCCTGCCCTTTTGCTCTGAAGACTGGATGAAGTAATCTGCCACCAAGTGGTTATTCCAGGCCTTTGACCTCCAGTCAATAGAAATACTCATCTTAAGTCTCTGGAAGGGAGTCAGGTTTAAAACATGCTTCTGTGCATATCCTGTTCACCAGATATGCTGCACTGTGTTTAGTACACAGGATTTTTTGCATCACTTTTCAGAGCCTTTCAAGTCTCCTGAGGTATTAAATTGCATACAAAGATGCATAATGCAAACTGTAACATAGATATATGAAAATTTTCTGTAGAGTTCTTTGTTGGATCTTGGTTTTGATTCTCTAGGATTCCCTGGAGAGCTTCTACAGAAAAACAAAAGGACGTGAATTGTGCTTTGCGAGATCTTGTGCGGCAAGTGATGTTTTGGGTCAGGCTGTGAGACTTTTCTGACAGTGATGTGATTCTCTTTTCACTCACTCTGATATCATAGAACTGTGAATAAAACCTAGTACAGGCTGGTTGGGCACATCTCTTGCAGCATCAAAGAGTCATCAAGGTTGGAAGAGATTTTCAAGATCATCCAGTCCAGCCACTCAGCTAGCATCCCTGGAATGCTTCCAGGCACCTGTAAAACCACCCATCAAACAGTAGTTTTCAACTTTCTGATCTGAAAACTCCTGAAGGCTCTCTTCTGTGTAGAACAAATTCAGTCCTACCAGCAATGACTTCCTTGCCTTAGCTGCTGTTCTCAGGTGTGTGTAGTTCTCCGTTGACTTCTGGGGCCTGATAGCAGGAGGTTGCCAGTGCCTGAAGAGAGACCACTGGGGTCTGTTTAGATGCAAGTGAGTGAAGCATGTCTATTTAACTTTTAAGGAAAAGCTTGGGATCAACAATTATGTGACCTTGAGGTTCTAGGAAAGGTAATGGGAAGTGTTGCGGTGTGCTGTAATGTCCCATTTTAGACTTCCAGGTCACTTCCCCAGGTGTGCCTATACCTCTCTCCCTTCCCCCTTGCCCCCATGCTGAGTGAGTCCTGTCAATCAGGCTTAACATTCCAGCAAGGCATCGTGTGGTTGGTCAAGTTCAAAGGATGCCCCTATGCCCAGGGGTCATTGGCCAGTCTAGGTGTCATCCCCCCCGAGACCCTGCCTCTTTCACCTGGTTGGTGCCCAGCTGTCCCCTCCCCTCCCCCTGTCCCTGAGCTTAAAAGGTTAATCAGACCATGCGGCCGACGTTCTGTTGGAGCAGTTGCCCACGTTCAGACCTCTGTAACCATGGAATAAACCTCTGGATATTAAACCCTCCAGCAGAATCCTCTCCTTTTTCTCTTCACCATCGCCTGAAGCTCTCCTGAGGTAAACGGAGTTCCTGACAAGCCTGGACTTGTTCAGTGCCCTGCTGCAATCTCCAGCAGCCAAGGTATCTCTGGGGTGATTTACACCACAGTTGCTGCCTTTGGCCCAGCAGCGAGGGTCAGACTGGCCCAGGCACAATCTAACTGGTAATATTGGGATTCATATTCCAATAGGGAAGGAATGCCTAATCTTAACCGTTTTTTGTATATAGCGCTGTGATTTTATATGTGCTGCTTTTTTTTTTTACTGTATTTTTAAACTAGACTAGAAACTCTTCTGTGAAATCCCCCATTGCTTTGCTTGTTTAGCTTTGCAGGAGCTGAAACCAAATCTGACAGTCTAAACCAGATGGTGGACAATTTTGAAAGCATCCCTTACCTGTCTTGTCTGCCAGTCTTACTCTAACTCTTCCTGTTGGACAAATCTTATTTTAATTAAATACTGGTATTATGTCATGTAAAACAAATTCTAGGGATTTCATGTGGGCTGCATCTGCTGTTAGTGTTGCTCTGTTCAGTACATTCTTAATAGCAGAAAATACTAAACCTTGTGTGAAGTCTTGTGACGGTTTCTAGTGTTCTACCTATGTCTGAAACTGGTACCTTACTCCAACTCCCCTCTAAACTTTTTGATAATCCCTGACAGTGTTTTCTTTGTCCTCTTAAGATTAAATAACTTTTCTGAATCTCTTATGTGGGATTGTTGGCAGAAACATTTTGAAGCCCAAACAAGTAATTTCATCTGGTGTTCTTTTAGGAGTTACATGCTGTCTAGATACAAATAAATTCATGAAGGTAGTTCTTTATAAAAAATAATTTACCTCTGGCTTTACTAATTTGTCTCGGGTCTGCTTTAAAACTGTTTTGATCACTTTTTCATTCCTTTGTTTGAATTAAGACTTGCTAGCTTCTGGCTTTTATTTTACTCTTTTTAGGACTTTGCGGAAGGCAGTGTTTAAACTCTTTCCACATTGGTGGTAATCATCTTCATGACTGAAATGGCCAGATGTTAATTAGGAATGTAGTTGCTTCATCCTGATAGGGATATCTTGATTGAATAATGTCAGACCTGTCCGTTTCTTCTGTCTACCCTTTCTTACAGTGCTTTATATTATTTCAAGTTGGAAAAAAGCAACAAACCTACATGGAACTTCACATAGTGAGGATGAATATTGTATTTCTTTCAGCTTGCATCTTTTCTCAGAACCTGATTGTCCTCAGTTGCTCCCTGTGATTGGTCAGGTTATTTTTTTTTATTTTCTTCCTCTTATTTGTGATTAAATACAATAACAAGAATAACAAGGAGTTCTATAATTTATTTAAATTGTCTTTTAGTCCTCATGTGTTTTCCATCCTGGTGTGTTGTTACTCCACAACTTCCTCATGAGTGGAAGCAGGGGGGCAGACACTGATCTCTTCCCTCTGGTGACCAGTGACAGGACCCAAGGGAATGGCATAAAGCTGTTTAAGGGAATTTTAGGGTGGATATTAGGAAAAGGCTCCCCAGAGTGTGGTTGGATACTGGAACAGCTGTCCAGGGAAGTGGTCACAGCACGAGCCTGACAGAGCTCAAGAAGTGTTTGGACAATGCTCTCAGGTACATGGTGTGATTCTTGGGGCTGTCCTGCAGGGCCAGGAGCTGGACTTCAGTGATCCTTGTGGTTTCCTCTCAGCTTGGGATATCATATGATCCTTTCCTATTTCTTAGCTGACATGTTTGCATTTCTGGCTTTTGAGTGGCACTTGTTCAGCATTTCCATCAAACTGGCCATCCTGGTAGTAGGTATTTTTGCTTGCTTTCCTGTTCAGCTCCTTGTGTGTTCTGAGCCCTGAACTGATACCCTTAGTGCTGATTGGGAGGACTCTTTAATATTCAATTTAGGCTTGCTTCTCATCCAAAGGTCTATGATTTAGTATGTGGGTGCCAGTTTTTAGTGTGATGTTTTAACTTCATAATAATACTGTGGGGATTTTAGCTCTTGTTTTCCAGATGAGTCTTCTCACCTGCTTCTGCCTCCACATTCCTTCTTCAGATCCCAGCCTCTGCTTTCTCACCCAGGGCATGTACAAAGAGATCTGGGCACAGCAAGAGAAGCGGGAATTATTTTTGTGGTGCTTGTTGACTCCTGGAAGAAATTAAATGATTTAAAGACTTATGCAGAGGGACAGGAACTAAGAGGTCACTGGCAAAAAGAGAGAAGCATGCTGACTGGTGTAATGTGACTTGTTTTTCCTTTTTCTGACCTTGGTGCTTGCTGAGGAGGGAAAGCAAGATTAGCAGGAGGACTCGGGAGGAGGCAGGACTTAATATCAAGGCATGCTTTGGTGGGGGAGGAAAGCAGGAAGGAAACCTGGACTGGTTAATACTTTCTTCCCTTCCAGAGAAAAAATTCTATAATCAGAGCTGCTGATTGAGCTTTCTCTTATGCTTCCTCTGTCAGGGACTGCTGCTCTAGAACTCCTCTAGGAAACAGCTTCTAATGTAAAGAAATCTTCCCTGAAATGTTTCCATTGGAGAGTTTGTATAGAGTTAAAACAGTTTAGGTTTGCTTCTTCCACCACACCATTTATGCAGTTCCGTGTCAAGATAAATTGTGTGTTTCTGTTGCTGTGCTTCCATCTTGTTTTCATGGCATTTGTTCAAATTATGCTGCAAGGACTTGGTGTTTTTAAACAGCTTTCCAAGTACTAGCAGATCTCACAGGCATGCTGCTCTTGTTTCTCTAGTGGCCATCTCCTCTATGATCACTAGGCTTTTTTTTCAGTACTTAAACATAAGCTCTTGTATGGCAGTAGCTGTTTTGTTTTCCTACTTGCTGTCCTCCTGATTGCTTTTTGAGATGCACTTGGTGTGGTGTGGCAGCTCTCACCAAGTGTAAAGTTTAAGTATTGAGCCTAGTTGAAGAATGCAAAAGCACAGTCTGATAATAAAAATAGGAGCAATTTGACAGGACCTGCTAGCTTGTCTAATAATGAAGAAGTTATCTTTATGGAACTTAATCTACTTGAATTTTGGATTAATGGATTTTGGATTAATTTTACATTTATGCTTTGCCAGAAAAGATGAATAGCACGTGTGAATTTCTTTTTTCAGGCAATAATGAATCAAATGGACAAAAATCAACAGGAAGTCCCATCCAACATTCATGATGAACCACCAGAAGGTATGTATTAGTTTTCATGAAATGAAGTGAATCAATCAGTTCTCTCTAAAAATGGATCTGCAAGCTGAACACTTCAACTTTCTTTTACATAACAGTAAACAAACCAACCCTGGGATGACATTGACATGGACCTGGATTATTGTTCACTTCTGCATTATCCTGATTACAAAAAGGCCACTGAATATAACTTGAGTAAACAACTGTACCTATAAATTATAGAGAAGATGGAGAGTTACTGAAGGACTTAATTTGCAGATTAGTTTGCAGAGATATGACTTGATCTAATGGGCATTTATTTCTGCTATTCATTATGTGAGACAAAGAGCCCAGCTTCATTTTCGGACGCGTTGCTATGTTCATAGTGCATGTGACTTTTATGCAAGATGCATTAAAAAAAAAAATAAAAGTTCATTACTGCTTCTGGAGACTGTTGTCCATCATACAATTAACAGTGGTTCCAACTGTTCACAATCTCATGGTTTCATAAAATCAAGCACGCACTTGACTTCGTTGATGCAGTGACATTGTGGTCTCCTGAACCAGCTGAATATTAAATTGGTTATTAGATCTGCAGAGGAAATGCAGTTGCAAATGAGCAGAGTTTCTTCTAAGCTGTGGACTGGCAGGATTGAGCAGAGTCCTGTTTGCATAATGTGACTGGAAATATACTAGATCAAAAGCCATTCTTGGCGTGTAAAAAACCATGTTCTTATGTGTGTTCTGTCTGCTCTTGCTTTAAAACCAAATGTGTTGGATGTAGAGGTCGGTGAGTCATGATTCCTCTCGGTTCATTGCTTTTCAGTTTATAATGGCCTTTTAAAGTTCTGTTTGTTGGTCTGGGTTTTTTTTCACCTCAGCTTTTATATGTTGTATAACCAAACAATTTACTTCATTTGAACAACAGTATTATCCACTAACTGTAGCAGAAAGGATTGAAGTCAAGTAGCTCACTCTATTCTTAACAACTATTAGGCAAGAAACACAAGTAGAAGAAGATGAGAGGAAAGGAAAAAATAGGTTTTCATGGCACAGAAATTCTTCAGCTCTGTTATACTCGTTATAGTAGCATGGTGTGAGGACAAAAAGTCTTGCGCTTTTGGTGTTAAGATCCCAGAAGCATTTCTGATAGCAAATGCCTGATGGGAAACTACACCTTAATGTGTTATCTTCAAGTCTGATTTTTAAGGCTGGGTTTTGTTTGCTTAGTTGTTAGGGGCTTTTTTGCCTTAAAGGTTTAATTGTGTTTGATACATGTTAAACGTCATATATGGAAAGTGAACAGTAGTCTGAAAAATAGAACCAATTCTTTATTGAATAGGGCAGTGGGCATTTTTTATCTTCCTAGAATATTCATTAGGTTTTCCAGATTCAGAGTATAACAGCAGAATTTGATGATCACTGGTTATTCCAAAATTTTATTTAAAATCTGTTAGCAGCTAAGACTTATTTTCTTCTGCACATTTTTCCTTTTAGTATGACAATAACTAGTTTGAATATGAAGTCTAAATAGATGGAGAAAGTTGGTGTAGTTAGAGGGAGTAGAATGAAGCACAGCTCATCTTAACATAAACTCCATCCTTGAAGAGGCTTTTTCCTTTTGGTTCTGATTCACCTGCACTCTTCAAGCCTTATGAGTTTAGTTAAAATACTGGAATACCCTTGGAAAGCAACCCCATTTTGAATGTTGTGCAAGGCCTTATACATGACACACTTACACCATCATAGAAAGATGGCCAAATGTGGATGGAAGGATACCAGTTCAATGCTGGCAAAATAATCTTCCTGAACAGGCTGCCAGAATACTCCTTAGAGGAAAGGCTCAATTCCAAAACTAATTTGCAGTTTTTCTTAAAGATAGAAATACTTCTGCTTTGTTCAAATCATGCTCAACAAGCTTGGTGCCCAAAGGCTTTAAAGAATATGTAGAAGAAGCTTTTGTGCTCCTGCTTTTTATGAATAGTGCTATTCTAATGTGATATTTTCTGCCTTGAGAGCGGCGCCAACCTTTGCAACTGACGTTCATTCAAACTCTTGTTCATTCTTGGATTCCTTTCATTGGGAAGCTGGCTGCAAGATGGCCTGGTAGAGCCAACTGCTGGATAGGGAACTTGTGTCATTTTCTCAGTACTCCATAAATCACAGAATATTCTGAGTTGGAAAGCACCCACAAGGATCATCGAGCCCAGCTCTTAATGGAGGGCCCATGTGATCAACCCATAACGTTAGTGTTGTCAGCACCATGTCTACGTGACTGAGCCAATCTCCTTAGATTTAGGCAGGATCTGGTATTCTTTGGAAACATACTCTTTAGAAAAAAGGAGACCAGGCATGTGTGTCCTAGAACAGAATTCAACTGGCAATAAAACTCTGCAGTGCTGGATGTTTGCTAGAGCTCATGGATGGTGCAAATAGAATGGAAATGGAATGTGCCAGCCCTTACCAGAAGTTACTTATACACCATCATATTCTGTATTTACCTGTGAAATAGAGTAGATGTCAATGGACTGGCTACCTGAAGTAAGGTAAAGACAAATACATAAAGGTTACATTTGTTTGTTTCTCTTATTATTTTTAAAGTTAGTTATGACGGATCATTTTTTGCATACATCAGTTCTGATTCAGTGAAATCAGCTCTTAAAATTCAGAGGGATAAAACTTTATGCCTGTTTCACCCTGATGATAGTGAACCAGTTAAGTGGAAGTGAAACAGTTTCTGACCAAATTTGTTACAAGTTCTATTAGTCTGGACACAAGAATCCTCTAGTGAATAAACCCTAGACATTGGATTTTATGGCAGCCTCTGCATACTTCCTTCTGAGTGTAATGCTTTAAAGACTTTCTGTATGTAAATAGAAATTCTGATCTCTGTGTGTTTGTGTTGGCAGTGCATTTTTGCTAGAGATGTCCATGTTGAAAGCTGCTGGCCTAGAATAAACCAGCAAGAGTATTACATGGCTTTAAGTAAAAGGCTGTCATTTATGGTTTCAGTTTCCATTACCCTTTCTATAATTTATATCAATTTCTTAATTAAGAGACTAGTGTGAGCTGGAAGGACTTTCAGTATTTTCAACTCCTTTGGGTTTCACTATTCTGTATCCTTGTTTTCCTTTTTTGTCAACTTTGTAGAAAATTCTCTCATTTAGGTGGCACCTTTTGCTTGAGTTATTCCAGACACGCACATAGGAACTCTGACCTCTACAGTTTTTTAATGAATTCTGAGTCCTAGGTCAGTCCTGGCACCATCACAAATGTCTTGGCAGTGCATGGAAAGTTGCTCACCCTAGTTTTCGTCTTGTAGTAGACGAGTGCTGGGAGATGACTCTTGGAATCTGTGCTCTGGATGCAAGTTGTGGGCAGTGAGGGCACTGGGGACAGATCTGTTCAGCTGGTTCTCCTAAGGAATGTTGCAGTGGAAAGTGTGTTGGCAGGGCTGGACAGAGGTCTCCCGTGCCTCTAGAGCTGTTTTTTTCTTTCCTGCTACCTCCTAGAGTAGTTGTCCTCCTCCAAGCATGTTATTTCTGCTCCTGAGTCCCTCCCCTTTTTATTTCATGTCTGTTTATTCCCTAGCTCTGCCCATTGTGGTTCCACTTGCTCTTTTCTTGGTTTCCCTGTTGTTTGTTATTTGGAACTAGGTGTATGAGCATCCAAAAAAGCAGCCTGCAAGGTAAGAACAGACTGTATGCAATGGCTGTTAGGCTAGAAAAGGAAATACTTTTGAGTAACACTTTTTTGAAAATGCTTAAATCCTGGTGCTGAGATTGATTTGCTTGTTGTTCCTTCCCTCAGGGTCACTCAAAGATCACCCGCAGCAGCAGGCTGGCATGCTTTCTCGTGTGACTGGTGGCCTCTTCAGTGTCACAAAGGGAGCTGTTGGTGCCACAATTGGAGGTGTTGCTTGGATTGGAGGGAAGAGCTTGGAAATTACCAAAACAGCGGTCACATCTGTGCCTTCCGTGGGAGTGGGTCTAGTCAAAGGAAGTGTTTCTGCTGTAGCTGGAGGCGTTACAGCTGTAGGATCTGCTGTTGCAAGTAAAGTGCCTTTAACAGGAAAGAAAAAGGACAAGTCTGACTAAAACCAAAACTGAGACATACTCAATTCTCCAGAATATTGCATCAGTGGCATTAAAATCTGCTAAGATTGGGACCATGAGAAGCCATGTGTCTTAGACACTTGATCTTCTAACGAGTTGTGCAAGTAACTCAGTTTCATCTGAAAAGGACAGAAGCATGGCTAGCACAGCGTATGAGGATTTATTAGAGCCTAGATTGAAGCTTTGTATCTGGTGAAATGTTACACTTGATAACTGTAGAAGTGAGTGTATCTGAAGGAATAATACATATCTGAATAGTCATTTACTGTACATCTTCTGCAGTTTTGGACTAAAATGTGAATGTAGAAATTCAGTAGTCTCTGTGATGCCATTGATACAACAAGATGACAATTATTGTTCTCAGTGGTTTCCACATCTTCCTGCTAAGTATCCTTCAGCTGTGTGAAAGCACTGTTGGACCTCCCCAGTCTTGGTTCTGAACCTGTACTTGCAGGCAGCCTGTAAACTATCCCTGACTGCATTCTGACAGTGAAGACTGGAGCAAAGAGACTGGAGGTGTGCAGAATTTGGAAATGAGAATGGGAGATAGATAGAAGTGAAAAAGTTTAATAAATGTGGTGGAAAGAATCATAAAGAGTAAACTAACTTAATGCCTTATTAGAAGAAAATCTCTTTTTACTAGGTGAAGCTGTGTAAAGAACTGTCCTCTTGTTACAGTGCAGTTTACAGAATGAGCTTTAGGCTCTTTACAAATCCTGATATCTGAAACTTTCTCAGTTTTTACTGAAAATGTGATTGCTTCATCTCAGGTGTATTTAATAATATGCATCTATCTCCTGCAAGTGAGAACTTGCTTCTAATAAAGTTCTTATAAACACTAGAAAAAAATGACAGCCTGTGGAAAATGGGCTGATGTTTGTGGTCATCTAACACAGCTGTCTAACTTGCTAGGAATTCTTGAGTAGCTGGAAACCACTGAGGAACTAGCAAAGCTGTTCTCTCAACTCTGTGATACACCAGGTTAGCTTTTTGCTCTGTTTAAGCAAATGCAAGGAAATTTTCACTACATTTCTTGTACTTTTCACCTTGATTTTTGAGTAAAATGCAATACTTTTATTTAAAACAAACCAAAAACAGTAGATGAGGCCTTAAAAAAAAAAGGCAACATGATTCAAGTAATATGTATACTGACAGATTCCAAATGTTTACACCTCAAATGGGAACACCTGTACATCCTCTGCAGCGCGTGAGGCAAAATGCACTTGTAATGACACAGCATGAGGTTGCCTTAAAATAGAAACCATTTGTGATCTTTTATTTGTGTACTGATTTTAAAAATAAGTAATGTCTTTGGAAGCCCATGGGAGGCATCTGTTCATGGTGTGTATGCAGTATTTTCAAAAAACTTTTGTTTCTATGGAGAACTTGTACACTTTTTCAGTGGCTGTGGTTGCACTAGGTGGTTATATGGCGGGGACTTTTTAAAAATGAAAAAACCCAAAACATATCACTTGTCAAACTAATTCCTCTGTTCATGGGTGTTGAAAGTACACCTTGTCTCAATTATGGTATTGTAGTCACCCAATCTCTCTGAGCCATTGGTACATCAACTGCACTCTGCAACAACTTTATTTTATATCAGAAATCATATATGTTGGAAGCATGATACTTGTAAGCATGGAACTTGGGGCAGTGGGATGAGCAAAAACCCAAGAAATGACATCTGCTCCTCTGTTAGATACACCAGCTGCTTGCTTCTGATCTGCTGCAAGGGGGAAATGAGGTAAGTTGATGCAACAAATGGAAGACTTTAAATGATTTTTTATAGTCAAAAGCAAATTGTATAGAATATAGTATTGTCTAGAAGTACCAGTTAGCTCTAGAAATGAGCTAATCTGGATATCAGAGGCAATTTTGCTGCAGCATATAATTTAGTATGGTCTGCTCCCCTGCAATTTTCAGTGTAGCAACATCCCCCAAGTGCTGCCACTAAACTCTTTAGGAGTCACCTGTTTGGAGCACAGTGATAATTTGTGACACTCAACCAAACTCTTCCTAATAGTTTTTCTGTAAATGGGAATGTTGAACTGGTCCAACCCATTTTTTTTATTAAATTCTTTAATTGTAAACTATGAAACTTGCAGCAAAACAAGCATGGTCAGAGATAAGCAATGTTAGGTATGTAAGGAGTTGCCAACACTCCATTTTATTTTGTTTTTAACATATCCTGTAGCTATTATTTTGAGTCTTGTAAACCGAAACTTTTACATGGCATATGGGTTTAGTTTTCAAAGAGCTTTGTCCTGTATCCTGTGTGTTTTCCATTCACTTATGAAACTTGCTTCATCTTAAAAACTTGTTCCCATTCTGTCCTGGCACCTGTGAAACATTAAATTGTTGCTGTTTCAGACATTTGAAAGCTTCCTTAGTTTTGTGGTGAAAGGCATAAATCTTCCCATAGAACCATGCTCCAGAGTGTCTTGTATTTGTGTCTACTTAGCACTAACCAGTTCTTAACAAAATCTTTAGCTTCAGTGTGTAAGCTAGGCACAGACACAGCACAAAATCCTTTGCACTACTTTTCTTTTCCCCTGGTCAATGATGCTTGGGAATATCCAGTTTTAAGATCGTAGTGAGCTGAATGGAATATGGAACTGAAATCTTCTGGGGGAGTGAGGCTTTTCTTTTGTCTTGGGATTGTTTCTGTGGTAGCTGTATTTCACTTTGCTTCTCCCAGTCCCTGTTCCAAAAGGGGAAATGTTTATGAAGGCAGCTTGTACGCCTGACTGCTCTCCCTAGGTAGTGAAAGGGTTACTCATTGGCTGGTGCACAGTCACTGTGAGTAACAAAAGATGAGGATTTCAGCAATACAGTGTTTTTGTGACTGGGAATTTTCCTGAGGTTTTATTGTAAATGAATCCTGTGAAGAAGAGAGAAACAGGTCCCAGGATAGAGTTAGGAATGAAGGATTGACTGAATTTTCATCTGGTAGAAGAGGAGCATTTCTGTGAATGCTTTTATTTTCAAAGGGAAAAAGAAGTTGGAACATTCAGAACACAAAATGAGTTTGTGGTAACTCTGGCTGTTACTGGGTTAAGGAAATACATCCTTTTCCTGTTCTGTTGCCACAGCAAATAATTTAAGTGATGGGAATAAGCTGTTTCAAGAACTTTGTGAAAAACAGGTACCTGTAGAAATGCTAGAACTAAATATTCAGGGAAAACACTGTTGTATGTCTTGGTTTCCTTTTCCTCTTAAGCTACCAGTTGGGTCTCTGGCTCAGTTAGAGGTTGTGTTAGAAGAGCTTTGGAGAGCTGAAATGCCCCTTTGTGTCTGAGGGGAAGGAGGCTTTTAAATTCAGATAAAATTGTGGTCTGCTTAATGGCTGAGCAGGGAAAGACAGTCTGAAAGTGACAAAGGCAAGTTCCTGTGAATTTTTAATATAGCTGTCTTCCCTCTTAAAAAACGATAATGAGTTTTGAAAGAGTCAGCATAGACACCGCCTGGTACCACAGCCTGACTTTTTTCGTGCTGTGATACGTCCCCTTTTGAATTGCAGCCAGTGTGGCACACGCTCTTGCAGGAGTGCCACTGACCCCCAGAAACGCCTGTCACGCCTGCATGTGCCTGCAGAGTGCTCACTGTAACACCTTCAGCTGCTGGGACCTTTGCACTGCTCCTACCAGGTGTTCCCAGCCCCTCCCCAGGGCACAGCAGATAACGTGGCAGACTATAAAAACTCATCAACTTGCAGCCCACCCTCTGGACCAGTAATTCAATACCAGCTTTCTTCAGCAATTACAAACCACATTTTAAGAGATGGAGGCCTGGACTTGCTGCCAAGATGTGTGTTAAAAATGACCTTGAAGAATGCCTGGAATGAGGGTGGTGTGTAGCTGGCTTTTATTCTGCTGTCAAGAGGGAATGTGTGTGGAATAGCTACTTAGGAAAGTCTGCGAAATAAAATCACTGATCCTAATCCTATTGAGGTGATTGTCAGTGGTGCTACTGTTTTATATTATCATTCACAGCCCATAAATGAGAAGAAATCAAATCCCCTGAGAACTTAAACGCTGTCTGATAGTTACTATTTTGAAAGCCAGCACTTGTCGCCAATTATCATATGGTGTTATCTTAGAAGCAGTGTCACCCATATATTTAGAAACTGTTGCAGCTGTTTGCAGATCTGGTAGTCATGTTTAATCACCAGTGGTTTACAGACTAGAGTTTTGTTGCACCTAATAGAAAAGCATAACTTTCTCTTTTCTCCTACCATCATTTGAGACTTGAGTATCTCCTTAATCTGTCTTGTTGCCAAACCTTGCTAGAAGAGATTAAGAACTATACAATAGCAATAAATGTATTTCTTTCTCTCCCACACCATTTGAAAAAATAAGTAAATTTTGAAGTCTCAGAAATATAAATGTTATCATCTTGTAGTTTCTTTGCATTATGGTTTGTACACAAAGATACTAGGGTCTCAGTTAATAAAAAAATATTATGTCCAGCCCCTGTTCTCAGGACAGGGCTTTGCTGTCCAAGAAATCGAGTCTGTTGCAGGTCAGGATCCAGGAGCTAGAGCTACTTCAGCAATAAGGAAAAGAACTCCAAGGGCGTTTCCTGAAGACAGCAAACCAGCCGACTGATGAACACCGCTGGAAAAATCATCTTCCTTTTGTCTTCCTCAGATAAAAATTGTGCTAATCACTACCACAGGCTGGACTGTGCAGTGACAGAGCTGAAAATCTAAGGTAGTTAATGCCCTGTCAGGTAAGAAAATGTCACATCTGAGGTACTCTTAGAAAAAGGCAACCTTTATCATAACTGCAACTTCTGTGATGATATTTTAAAGTATTACAATACTGTGATTGTATAATGAAGTTGTATCTAAGACCCCCTCCTGAACAAAGTACAGTGTAAGACTACAGTCTTGATTAAGATTGCTTTTGCTCCATCTCTTCTCAAATAATCAACTTGCTTTTAATTTGCTTTTGCATAACTTGAAGTACAGCGTTCACATTAATCTTCAATGTGTAGAGGAGCAACAGGATTAAAAATTGGTCTCTCCTTCTTTGATTGTATCTTACCATAAGTGACTTCAAAATCTTTTTTAGTACCATTCAAGCTTTCTAGATTTCCACTCTTTATATCATATCCTAACGCAGAGAGCTTTTTAATTCGATACTGAACAATTTGTGTTGTCAATTCCAGCACCATTGGTGTCTCTCTTATCTGTGCTATAGAAATTCCTTCCTTCAGTAGTCCTTCAAGTCTTTCTTCCAAAACTGTGACAGGATAGTAGAGAAGGGCTGGGCATTTCAGCACTAGTTGTTTTAGTTCTTGATCACTGCACTTGAAGATGTTTTTGGAGAAAAGCATACTCTTCTGCATAGTGGTAGAATTAAGTTGAAAAATGAAGCCTTTAAGTTTGGACAGCAGCTGTAGAACTTCCTGGTTAGTGAAATAATTCTTTTGGAGAAATTCCAAGTTCTCCTGGATTGCAGTGGAAGTATTTAATAAAATAAATGGATTTTGGCTCAATAGCTTTAGAATCCAGATCTTCATATTTGCTTCAGAGCCCCCTAAATTTAAATAATTTCTTTGTAATGTCTCTATCACGTTTTTGTTTTTCTCAACAGGGTTGTAGAAAATATTGGGTGCACTTGTCAAGAACCTGGTGATTATATTATTCTTAAGTCCCAGCTCTTGAAAAAACAGTATGTTTGCCTTCTGGTTCTGCTGATACTTAGTAGTAAAAAAGGACTCTGGAAATTGCTCTATTAATTTAATCAGCTGTTTTTCATTCTGGCATACTAACTGCCATAAAGCTCTTTGAGCGTTTATCTCTGCTGGGGTGTGGAGAATTGCCTCGGGGCAGCGTTCTATAATGCTGGCTACAGTGGTCCCATCTGCTCCCATTTCCTGTAAGATACCAGCAATTTCTTTAACATAGGCCACGTCCTGGAGAAGGACCCATTCCTTCAGTCTGCGTATCTTCGTGATGTCAACTGACAAACTGTAGAGATTCTCGAGGGTTTTTTTATTTTCCTCTCTTGACTTGGTATCAGTTGTGTAATTGGAATGTGTTAGGAAGCTTCTGTTTGCTACATCAGGCCATGCTGATGAAAACTTTAGTCCCGCGTTAGAGCTCGGAGATCTTGTCAACAGAAGAGTGAATGTTTCTTTTGCACCGTGAGCAACTCCT